TATGTTCAGATCAATAATTGATTAATTTACATTTTCTTCTTAAATATGTTCAGATCAATAATTGATTAATTTCTGGAAATTACCAGCACAGTATAAATTCTCAGCAGTAGAGCAACTAGACTGCAGTGAAAGTTTGTAGGTCAGGAAGATGACAATCCTTTGTGTGTGTAGAGGTGAGTGTAGCTATATGTAATAGTTCTGATTTCTGTATTCCTTTTTTTAAATCTTGTTTCTTGTAATACAGGTGTGTTTATGGGACCCACAAATATACCATTTACCTCACAAGCACCAACTGCATTTCAAGGTTTTCCATCAATGGGTGTACCTGTACCTGCAGCTTCTGGCCTTATAGGAAATGTCATGGGACAGAACACAGGCATGATGGTGGGCATGCCCATGCCCAATGGTTTTATGGGAAATGCACAAACTGGTGTGATGCCACTTTCTCAAAATGTCATTGGCCCCCAAGGAGGAATAGTGGGACAGATGGGTGCACCCCAGAGTAAGTTTGGCCTGCCACAAGCACAACAGCCTCAGTGGAGCCTCTCACAGGTAGGGCTCATTTACTTTCCAGCTCCTCCCAAATAAAAAAAATATAAGTGGTTTTATTGATTGGCTGGTTAGTTGGTTGATTGGTTGAAATGTAATGATCTGGTAGGGATAATGTATCAGATCAGAAATGTCTCAATATTAGGAGTTTTTTAATGAAATGGACAAATGATTTGTCTGTGTCCTTTTAGTGTATTCTATAAATAAATGTTAGGCTTTTTTTTTTCCATTTTAGCCTACCAAACTGTAAAGATGAACATATTTAACTTATTAATAATAGAAGTTATCTTGGGCATCATGAGAGATACCCTGGTCTGCCACAGGAAGGTAGCATCAAGCTTTACCCAGCTTTCTGGTAGGGCATTTTGTAGTCCATGTAGTCCAAATCTTACGTACTTAATTTGGAAATTTATAAATCAGAAAATGCCCAGCCTATATTCATTGTCAAAGTACAATGCTATGGGGAGTCAAGACTATCTTCCATGTTATATACTTAATGTCCATGTATTTGCAAACTCTTTTTGTTCAAAAATTATTTAAGCTGCTGGGTGCTGGGAGCTTCATAATCATAGCTACTCAGGAGGCTAAGATCTGTGGATCGTGGTATAAAGCTAGCCCAAGCAAGAAACTGTGAGATTCTTATCTCCAGTTAACTACCAAAAAGTCAGATGGGGAGTTGTGGTTCAAGTGGTAGAGCACCAGCAAAAAAAAATCTCTGGAATAGCATCAGGCCCTGAGTTCAAGACCCAGGATCAGCACAAAACAAAACAAAATCCTCTTTAAACTGGGTTCACTCCTGTAACTTCTGGAAGCTGAGATCTGAGAATCACTTTTTGAAGCCAGCTTGGGCTGAAAAGTCTATAAGACTTCATCTCTAATTAACCAGCAAAATGTTGAACTGGAGGTATGACATGAGTGATAGAGCACCAGCCATGTCCAAGCCAAGTGAGAGCTCAAATCCCTCAGTTCAAGTCCTCTTATGGGTGTGTATGGGCGCGCGCACACACACACACACACACACACACACCATACACACACACACACACACACACCATACCCATTAAAAACAGAAAGAGTGACTAATAATTGTAATTCTAGCTACTTGAGTGGTGAAGTTGAAGAGGATCAAGGTTCGAGAGACCACGTCTTATCCAATAAAAGTCTATGCCTGCCAAGGTTTTGAAAGCCCTAGTAGAAGAAAAATAAAGCAAAAAAGGATATGGCATGGCTCAAATGGTAGAATGCACCTTCCTAGTAATTTCCATGTCCTGAATTCAGATCCCATATTGAGGAACAAACCTCTTCAAAATTGTATTTCCTTTTTATATATCCTATAATGACTTATATTAAGGAGTATCTATTGGCTCAAGAATTCTATATAAACTGTGTACAACAAGTCCATATTTATCTCAAGCATCCCCTCATATATGAAGTTCTGTTTTTACTTAAGCTTAGTTTAAAGCTAAGAGATAACATTTCCTATGTCAACTGCTCTGTTCTCACTTTTCTTTAGATCCATAGACAAGGACTCTTAGTCACAAGTTCATTTTCTTATTCACTTTTCTGTTAGATGTTCTATGCCTTGTTGGTCTTGGCATCCATATAATTAGTAGGACCAATCATATGAGAACATTCGGGAAACAGTGTAGAGTGATTTCTAGAGTAATCACTGTACATCTCCGTAGATGCTGCAGTTTAATTTTTATAATCATGCTTTCCAGGAATATGGGTGTGACACTGCTGTCTACCCACTGAGGATCTCAACATTTAAGGGTCAAATGTTGTTAACAGTTGGCTTTACATGGCCCAAATACTGAGTACAACCCAGTTCTGGTTAAAGTGAATTTGAATAGTTCATACTTGCCCAACTTAGTCTACTCATACCAATCTACCTTCACTAATAATTTGGGGGTCCTTTTTTTCTGGCAGCCCACAAATCTAGCATCGTATTCTGAAACCACAAGTTTGTGAGGGATCAAAACTGTCTTCCACCTGGAAGCTGGTGGCTCACACCTGTAATCCTAGCTACTCAGGTGACAGATCTAAGGATCACAGTTCAAAGTCAGCCCAGGCAGGCAGCACAGTCTGTGAGTCTCTTAATCTCTAATAAACTACTCAGAAAAAGCTAGAAGTAGTTCTGTGGCTCAAGTGGTAGAGCATTAGCCTTGAAAGGAAAAAGAGAGAGAGGGAGAGAGACAGTGCCCAGGCCCTGAGTTCAAGCCCCAGGACAAAAATAAAAAAGCTGTCCAGATTATTCCAAGGGGTACTGTTTACCAGCAATATCCACTGCCAATTACAGGTTAGTGGAAATTTCCATGAGTAACAACTTGTCATACCCCTTCAGGTACTTAGATTTGCAGTCAATATTATTGTCTTAGAAAAACTGCAAATGAAGACAGTCTTTCACATCTGTACTTTTTTTTTTTTGCATTCTTACTTGGCTTTTTTTTGCCTAAGACTAGCGCTCTACTACTTGAAATATATAACTTTGCTTCTGGCTTTTTGCTGGTTAATTGGCAATTGGAGTCTCATGGACTTTCCTGCCTGAGCTGACTTTGAACTGGAATCATCAGATCTAACTAAGCCTTATGCTAGCTAGGATTACAGGTGAACTACTGTTGCTTACTTGAAAGTAAGAGAATGACAGAGTTAAGAGACTTAAAATTTTACTTGACTACAATCTAGAAGAAAAATATTTATAGAATAGCATAAAATTAGTTTTAGCTGTTTATCTTGTCTGAATACAAGTATACTTTATGACTTTCGATTTTTAGAAAATACAGAGCCATTTCATATTTTAATAGACAATTCTATCCATCATATAAAGTTTACATAATAATGTTAGCATATTTTACTCTCTAAAATCTTCCCACTTCTTAGCACAGATTTTTCTAGTGTAGTTGAAAGAGTGAACTCTATATAGACCAGATGCAAATTCAGAGATTACTTTGGTACCTTTTTTCAGTTGTGGTTCATCTTTGGAGATAAGAAATTGAATATTGAAAGTGAATAAATGTAATTGAGATTATTTTATGAACACTGCTAAAAAAAATTGGCAGAAAAGATGAGAGCAAATAGTTACTTGCTTTCCTTAAAGAGATACTTGTTGTCACTCTGTTTTTTACCCAAATACTTTATTTTCACATTAATGAAAAGATACTGAACTATGGATAAAGAAACAAAATCTCTTAAACTGAACCTTTCATGTGTTTCACAGATGAATCAGCAAATGGCTGGCGTGAGTCTCAATAGTGGGAGTCCAGCAGCAGGCTTTGGCCAGCCCCCAAGCACAACAGCAGGATGGTCTGGAAGCTCATCGGGTCAGACTCTAAGCACACAGCTGTGGAAATGAGAACTGCAGAGCAAGTCTCATCCAAAACTAACATCTGACATTCCTTGCTAAAAGCATCTAGTTCCCCTATTCATTCATGTACATATATATTGGTTTTCTTTCCCCCCAACTTGTTCATATTAAGAATTACCTGATTGACCGTGTTGGTCTGTACTGATTAAATTTTTGTGGTGCAAAGCAGGTTAAGAATCCACTTTATGTCAAGGGCAGCTTTGCTCCTATTTCCCATGATTTCATAAAACCATATTATTTGAGAAGCTGCTCAGTCAACTTATATAATCAGTTTTGCTGTCGATAAAATTATAGCGCTAATGTTTGCATATAAGGGAAGTAGTTATCATGTTAGTAATACCTCTAACAGTATAACCCCACCCCCAAATTAGCCAGTAATCCTGTAGGAAGGTACTGTATGATCAAATGTTTAATCATATAAATAGAATGTAAATGTATCACTGAGCACTGTTTTCTAGTGTATCAAGATTCTTTTATTGCATCATTCACTTCACCGTGCTGTTGTTATGATGTGCTTTTCAGGGAACGTGGTTAGTGAAAAGATAAACCTGGATGTTACTATAAACCTTAAGCATAAGAATTCAAATTTTACCTGCCTCTCATAATTTGGATCTCTTCATATGTACATAGTGCTAACACTAAAACCTTTGCTGCACTATATACAAACAGGGTAACTAAAACAAAGCCACTTTGCATCCTTGAAAGTATATCCAGGTTTATGACAGTAATTGTGTTTACATTTTATGGTGCCTAGTATTGACAAAATGTTATTTCCCTATATTAAACAGGTGAATCCATTAACTTTTTTGTGGATTTTATTTCTACATTGTATACCTGCCACCAGCCTTCCAAATGGTATGAAGTAGAGAACTAGGGATGTTTACTTGACAAAATACCTGTCATCAGGTTCTAAAACCTGTTCAGTTCTACTAATTACAAAGCCAAATGGAAAAGATGAACAAGTGTGTAAGGTAGTATCTTGCACTGTCACTTAGCTTACTGTACAGAAATCTTCATTAGGGTGTAGATAAAACATGCAGAACAAGTGAAGATAGAACATACATTTTGTAGCATCCAGTTAGCTTCTGTTAAAATAGAAGTCCCATCAGGTGACAGTAAAAGTTGTTGTATTGAATGAAGTAAAAGAAACAATACCTGAATGATCTGCAGCCTGAACTCCAAATATCCTCTTCCACACCCCTTGACTGGGCAAACTGCACCATCTGGTGTTTCCATTTATACCTCAATTTTCACTGTGTCCACGAGGTACTTTGGCTCATTGGCTAGATTAACCTTCTCTGTCCGAGTATGCCACACAAGAACCTAAAGTGGAAGGAAATATGTTGAGTAGCCACACTTGTAACGCTGAAACTCAAAGTTGGCAACCTGAGTACAATGAGTACCTTGGTGCAGTTACTTGCTTTGGGTTCCAGTTCTTCAACTGTTGTGATCTGTTTTAGGAAGTCAGATTCTTGCATCCCTGGCTGGGATCCACGACGCGTAAATACAGCTTTTGGATTGGATAAGATGACTTGAAGACTTACAGCAAATCCTTTGCAGAATAATAATAAGAAAGCCAAAGATACTTTAGGACATTGTACTTTTCTTTTTATAATTATACTAAAGCTATTTTAAAACACTTATTGGATTTTATAGTTTACAATTTTGAATAGGAGTATTATTTCCTTTATAGTCTTGAGTAAAATTAGTCACTGTAATATTGTACACTCAGTGCAAAACATGTGCCTGGAGGCAACTACTATAAAATAGGTAGTCTAGTCTGTTGATAATACATGGTGAATTTTATGAGTTTCTACTTAACAGAGCTATTATTGATACTCTGAACTCAATGCAGTGAAAAATCATACTTGACTAAATTCTCCTTTGTTCAAAGATTTGTGCTCAGTGTTCGTCTGCCCTAATACATTATGTGTGCTTAATCAAGACCTGTACTACTCTCTCTGGGTTTGTATCAAAAACATTAGTAATAGAAGCCCATTACCTCAAAAACAGATAATAGGTAATTTACCATTTGTTTTGAACTGAAAGTGGGAGAGGGGTTTACAAATCAGTGCAGGCCATCTGAGGCCCTAAGTTTATTTCCCTCTCTCTCCCTACCAACACACATACAAGGTATAAAATTCCTCCAATGATCTTGATCATATTAAAATACTATTACTATTTATTCTGTAGTTTAAGAAACTATGATCTGGCCATGAAAGCATTCTGCAAGTCATCTGAACAACTGTGTGGGACACTGGTATCTTATGTGTATAATCCTAGCTACTCAAGAGAGGCAGAGATCTAAGCTAGCTTGAGCAGACTAATCCTCTTACTTCCAAGTAGCTAGCAAAATTCTGGAACTGGAGGTGCGGTTCAACTGGTAGAATAACAGTGCTGAGCCAAAAAAGCTCAGTGAGAACTTGAAACACTAGATTCAAGCCTTAGTACTGGCAGAATCAAAAAAACAAAGTAATTGTTTTAGAAGTCTGAAGTCTTGTTGGGCCTCTTTGTACCCAATGATTAGGGTGATACTCTGATCAGCACTCTCCATGAAGACCATGCAAATACCAAATGATCCAAGCCAGAATGTTAGAGCTATGAGAAAACCACAACCACCATCAAATGCCAGTCAGCCAGTCTTATGTTCTAGACCCTGCTGCATATGAACAACAGTATAGAACACTGACTCACTCAGCATTAGTTTCATGCAAAACAACAAATTGATAAAAAATATTTGTGTTAAAACTGAGAGTCTGCCAATCCTGTAGGAAGGTGGACATTGAGCAGAAAACACTGAGTTTGGAATTAGTCTGTTTTGCTCACATCTTTTCACTTACTTGGGATACTGGTCAAGTATTGATTCTGGAACTTAGCCATTTCCTAGTTTGTAAAGTGAAGTGTTAACACCTTCTCAACTTATTTGCTGTAGGATAATGTATAGGGAGACAGGACTACAAAGCACTGTTAAAAAATTACAGCATAGACAAAAGCACCATAGCAGATAGTGCCAGGAGGGGCAGGAGGTGTCAGCTTGCCTATCATTTTTCATCACTGGTAACAAATTAGAAGTCTCCTTCAGGCAAGAATTCAACAAAATTGGGCTGGGAAGTTGGCTCAGTGGTAGAGCACTTGCCTTGCATGCCTGAGGCCCTGGGTTCGATTCCTCAGCACCACATAAGCAAAAAGAAAAAAGCCGGAAGTGTTACTGTG